GTTAACCACCTCTAGTGAAAATCAATTTTTTTGTTTTGGTCAAATTGTGAAACTCAATTAATGGTAGTTTTGTACTAACAAAAATTGTAGTTCGTTTTAACCTGATGATTGGGTCTGATACGTAGAAATTAGACTTACAAACCTGTCCGACCGATATATGATTTATCAATAGCCCATGGGGCATGGGCTTTATGTTATGTTCTGCAGTTTGAAAGCAAAGCAATACCAAATAATCAAGTCATATTTTGAATAAATATGATGATTATGTTATATCACCTGCCTTTTTTTTGGCTAAGAGGATTTCTATTGAAAATGCATAAAAGAAAAATACAAGGCCATGATATTTTTGGGTCATTCTGTTCGAAAGGTTAAGATAGTTGATGCTTACACATAAACTAGCTTTGAAATACCAATAAGCAAAAGATAGAGAAGTCGAGAAGAACTATAAGTCTCTATTAGATATTAGTTGATTTGTCCACGGCCTCTACGGCAGTGGTTTCCTCCACCTCCAGCAACAGTCCACTGCATTTTTTGAACATTTTGAGTCTCCCTCCTATTAAACGAATTGTGGCCTTGAACATAACCTTCTTTCATTTCAAAAGCCTACCGTCGCTAGCTAGTGGTTTGTTTGATGGTTCCTGTTGAAGTAAGAGCTGATGCCTTTGTTGTTTCAAAAGATTTTCAAGTCTTAACTAATTTGAGATGAGCAAGGGCATGAGTTTTTTTCTCAAACTTCCTTCGTATAAAAAACATCCATACCAAAGGACAAGAGTCCGAATGGCCCACACGTATGAGAATTTACGTACCGAGATTAGCATCCGGGTTATGATGGTGACATTATCTCTCCTTTTTTTTTATTATCATAAGTTTATATGTGAATATGTTGATACAATTTGTTAAAAAACAAAATATGTTGATACAAAAAGAGAGTTAATTATGCATATAGGCATTCTGTACGGACCTTAATGAAATCCAATAAATATATTGGTGGAAATTTTACAGTTCATGTCGTTTCTAAAATTCAATTAATCACTTTATTAAAGGATCTCGAAATAACTTTTAATAGGACGTGTATATATGATTCGGCTATTTTCTATTTTACAAAATGTAAAAGTGCTCAACTCTTGTTAACGTCAACGCGTATTCATTTGAAACAGTAAATACATAAAAAGTTGAAATTATCGTAGATAGGTCGCATCAACAAACAAATGATCAAATATTGTTATTGAAATCCTTAGGTTATTCAAATTTTTTTTAATC